TAACCCTGCTGAATGAGGCTCATTATGTGGTTACAGACTTCAGACGAAAGGAAAAGGAAGATAAAAGTAAGGTTTAGTGAGATGGAGCGACTTTTTGGAAAAAGGGAATGGGGGGAGCTGTGAGTGAGATTATGGTAAAAGACATGGGTGAGAAACTGAGCCAACGGGGTTATCATATTTCAGGAGAAAGAGTGGCTTTGGAGATTGAAGTAGGAAGTGAGGGCTCCACTTAGGTTTTCTGAATAAAGTACCTTTAACCCCTGAACATGACGAGAAAACCCATGAGACAAGGGTGTCTGGGGTGCGTCACACTTAGAAAAACACTCCACCCTGACATGTGGATTTGCCTAGAACCCATGACCCCAGGACTAGTTATCGCACCCTGATCTCAAGTCCACTGAGAAAGTCCAGTTTTGAAAGATGCTAAACAGATGAGAACTTGACAACTTAAAATCATGAACGAATGTATATCAGCAAAGACAACACAAAACCAGGGAGCAGTCTTTGGAGGGATCAGTTACAGCTGCAACACAGTCCCAGCACACCCCAGGAGACCTGGGTTAGACCCTTGGGTACTTTCACATGGTCGCAGGCAGAATCAGCTTACTTTCTTCATTGATATTATGTGGAGTTTGCTGCCTATAGCTTCATTTAAAAAAAAAAAAAAAGTGAATATCTTAAATGTAGCGTTTTTCAACCAGTGACAATGGAATAACATTCATGGAAACTTCGGTGTGTTGAATGGATTAATTCAACTAAGTCAGGATGTAACATAAGTATTGTATGGTCTTAGACTCACTCTAACTGCTGCATCCAAGTTTGCGGTCAGCCTACTCTTCAATTTCTCAGGTTTTTGTTTAAGCTCTGTTGCACAAAGCAGAGCTCTGCTGTTGCATCTGTTTCCACGGATCATCTCTAATCCAACTTCACTCAGATGTCTCCCTGGTGTTTGTAGCCTAAAATTTTCCATGAGTGCTCTGTGTAATTTATAGCCATTCGTCTGCTGATGCCGGCTGCAGTATTTAGACTACCTGCTACTGTAATATCATGCTTAACACCGTTGAAACTAAGCATTGCAAATTCACCCAATTATGCTCAGTGTATATTAACCTAACATTACTTGAACAATCACATGGAGTAAAGGTTTATATGGATCCCTATGATCACAAGTTAATACAGTTATCCCGGAGCAAAATAACAGTGTCCATCTGAAAAAATTATGAATGCACATATTTGTTTCAGATGGTGATCGTTTCCTCAGGTTTTAACACCGGCTTCATTCTTGGTCACAGTCAGCTAGAGGTGGGCTCTAAAACAGTGTCCTTTTTGCAGTGAGATGTCTGTGCTGACCTATGCATCACCTTTCACCTTTCTAAGTTTATGTCATAAATATCTAAGTCACAGTTAGAACAATACAACTGTTTTCTTTTTTGAAAAGTTCTATGATTTTATTATCTTGATAACTTTGGTAATGCAATAACATCCCTTGAAGAAATCAAAATTACTTGGTTTTAGGTGAAACTACCATGGTTAAGACGAAAATACATTATGCAAACTTGAAGAGACTACACTAAACTTGTACTCATCACCTGCAGTTACTTTCATATGTCCTAGAGGCCAAATATTCCTCTAAAGCCACTCCAGCACATTTTTGGCTTGCATGAGTACTTATATTTCTTATTTCGGGCACATTCAAAACAAAGCCATCCCCAGGAGGTCTAACACCTACTGTTACTACTTACAGTATGGAGTGTTTGTGTATTTAAAGGGTTCAAGAATGCATATTTGATTACAGATTTTCAAGATTGTTTTTGTGGCTTATTTAAAGAGGTGTCAAGTGGGACAAATTAGCCAAGATGGATTTACATCAGCATCAGAGTTAGAACCAACATTATAGTAGTGGTTCCATCACTACTAGAGGCACACATACAAAGCAGATACAAACTTATTCGCCAGCCTGTTTGAAATAAACTACAAGGCCAAACATATGTGTGGATGTTTGTTTTTTTATTACTTAAGATGTAATATGACAACTACATGATATCTGTAGTTTGATCATGCCCATTGGTAACATGGAGTGTTCACCTGTGATGCAGAAAATCATATTCTTTGTAATGTGCACTTTATCAAATTTTATCACAATGGATCAAGTTTTGCCTTTTGAGACAGTGAAGGTGCTGTCATTGGCTTGATGGCCCCATGTTGGTTTAGCTTCCAAGCTTTTTAACTGAAGAATTTTGTGTTCTCTGTTCTGTTCATTTGAAAATGTCTGATTCTGCCATAAAATAGTCTTATTTATTGATTTGCAAAATTGTTATTTTAAAATAAAACATATCTGCATTTAAAAGCACATATTTAAATCCTCTGCTGTTTTTGGCTTGTTTCTTTTATTTTGAAACAGGATTGTGAACAGCACTCATTTCATCGTCATGTGATAATTCTGAACAGCTGCATGATATTTATTAACTTGAGAATATTGTTATATTGTTAAAATATAGTTAACTACAACATATGGGTGGAAAAATATCTTACACTGACTCGACTTGGAACACTTTTTGGAAAAAAAGTACCTAGGAAACACAAAAATGGAACCTGCCAAGTTTGGGATGCAGAACTACAATCTCACAGAGTAGTACGCCTTCCAACTCGGACAAAAAGCATCCGATGTAATCTCCCAGCTGGGGAACAGTTAAGCTAACTGAACGTCTTGTCGTCCAACTTGTCCAAAGATCGGGAGTCCTCAGTGCAACCGGCCTTGCAAATGGAACCTCTTTAAGGTTTGGCCTGGTTTGAGGATGATTTAACTGGAAGGTGTAGTAGCCAGTGTGGTTTAAAAACCCTGAAAGACTTTCGCTGCTGGCTGAGCGGGACAAGCAGGGCAGCGCTTTTTTTCTCAGCTGCTGGAGACAGTTTGCCAGCAGGGACCCGTTTAGCCAGCGAAAAGCAGCTCTGAGCAGCGCCGTAATGCATCTGGCAGAGTCCGCAGAGCGATGGCGTTGACTGCTGACGCACTGAGGGAAAAAAGCCTGGCTGCCTCTGCTGCTCTGCAGCCCTGCCCACATGTGCTTTTCTCCTCTGCTCAGCACACAGAGAGAAACACAAGATCATCTTCTGAAGAGCACTGACAACACACTTGTACGCGTTTCAAATAAGAATCGACACGCCGAGTAAAAAGGCAGAGATTTCGAAATATCCGTGTCTCCTAAACAAATTTGGAAAATAAAAGCGAAATTTGTACAAGATTTAGTTTTACCTTCATTCACGTTGAAAAGCCGATGGGTTTAATACGTGTTTATTGTAAGTTCAGACCTAATTAGTTTATTTTAAGAAACAGGAACAAAGTACCCTTTGGTTGGAACAACCTTTTTCAATCCCCCCCTGATCTCTGACACCGTTGCCCCTGTATCCCAGACCTCTGCATTGCTTCTTCTGTCAGCTTTCCCTGATCCCTCTTGACCCTTTGGCACCACCCTTTAAGGATATCCTGTGCAAAGGGCAGAACTCTAAGCAGTATTTCAGCAGTGCTCATTGAAAGCACAAAAAAAGCATACCCATTATTTGTCGCTAGTTGTCATATCCACTGGGTTATCCTGGAGGCATGTGTGTGTCCACATATCAGGGAGACTTTAAGCCAAAAGCTTGTTCCACACATGCATTTGCAATAGAAAATCTCAGGATAAGATTTAGAATTTCTTCATCTCAAATCCACACAATATGTATTCAATTTCATTTTAGTATTTATGAAAGTGTAGAAAGCCCCCCCTCCCTTTTCCTGAGTTCACAGAGCTCCATTTGTAGGGTCTTCTTTAGCTCCTGTTTTTGAATACTTATTTAGCATGAATGAGGTGTATTGTAATTGTCAAACAAAAAAACTAAAAAATCAAAGACAACATAAAGAAATGGAACAACAATGAAGCCCAGGGTTTATTGTCTCCACTAGAGGAAAAGCCCTTGAATGTCTCAAGTCCTTCAGGGTTCTCCCCAGGCCCCGATTAAGCCTCCCAGAACTGTTTGGTCCAAAAGTGCCTTTGTTTGCTCTGTATTGTCAAAGCTCGTGAGAGTGTGTAAGTGAGTGTGTGCGGTGATCGGGATGAACATGAGCCCACACGGTGCAAGAAAGAAAGAAGTTGATGAAGTTGTCTTGGGATATTGTAAATGACGAGTTGGCATTTTGTTTGCTGAAGCTGTAGTTCTCTGATGACATTTGAAATTAGGCCATATCGGGCTTTATCAACAGCTGCAACATGTCTGTGACAGAAAGGTATCATGTATCCTAAATTGGACCACGGCTGCATTTATACTTTGGCAAATTTAGATAGTTTACGAAACTGCAATCTTTGTATTTGTGCTCTGTAATTTTCACTTTTCAGGCCTAATTTCCTCAGTTTTAATGTGCCAATTTAATTTGTAAGAGGGCTGCGACTCATTAACCAGTGAACCCAAACTTTTAATCAATCTAATAAGATTTTTTTAATAGCCAACCTGAGCCAAGCTGCAAATTAAAGCAAGACTCTCTTCTAGTAAAAATCTTTACATGTTATTACCTCCCCTCTCAAATACATTTCAACAAAGGTTAACACTGAGTGTATTCTTTCCATGCATTCTTTGTTACCTCCACATGTCCACAATAGGATTTAAAGGATGAAGAGTGTAATATTCACAAGCTTGCGCCAAACAATCTAAACAGTGCATTTGTAATTGTGAAGGACACAATAAAAAGAGACACATTAAAAACATAAGTGTCCATCTGTTCATTTCTACGTTCACTTAATCCCAGAGGGGTCCAGGGGAAGGGTCAGAGCCTTTCCCAGTTATCATTGGTACACAATGGAGTCCATCACAGGGCCGCATCAAGAGAAATGCAACCGTGCATGCTCATACTCAAAATGTATTACTCCTCATGTCGAAATAAACTTGAATTAAAATGCCAATCTTTTACAAAGCACAAAATTGTAGTTAACTGATGTTGATAAAGAAACAGAAAAGCCAACCGTAACAGCTTTGATATTCAACTTTATTTGATCAGTTTGATTGTGAACCTGTACTACTCACTTGCGTACATTAAGAGTTATGTCAATGGAAAAATGTATCAGGGGATGTAGTTTGTCTTTCGAAGCTTCAATAAAGCTGAATGAAATTTCCATTGATGAAGCCAGCAAATGAGGTCGGAATGTAAATGATGAAATGTGATGAAGCAAACAAACATGGGGAAAAATGGATTTCCGTTTTGGATCATTTAAAGCATGTTTTTGTTCTGACTCCACTTTCTAATGTTTGTTATTTGCGCCTCTTAACTGATGTTCATCTTCATCAAAAAGTAGATTTACAACAATCTGCCCGGATGACATCGCCCAAGTAATTTTTCATGTAAGCAAAGTAAACACCTGGATAAATATTAAACCTTATTCCAACATTTATCTCTTTGACTAGTAGCTTTTGTTTTACTGAATAATGTAACTCCCTCAGTCAGACAGATGTAATAAAGAGGATTCTTATTTATGGAGTAATAATTTGAAAAAGGAGCCAGTGATTGCTCCTGTTACAGTTACAAACCTCAACAAAATATCTTGATACAGAGTCATTAAAACCATGTGTTTTATTTGGCACAACACAAAAGTGCTTGCTAATGATTAGTTTTGCAAAAACAAAACAGGAAAAAAACACCTCATGGGTCAGTTATGTGTCATTTATTACACCTTAAAATAATAGCAACTCTTTAAACTGTAGGAAATGCCACTCTCCTTTTCGTTTCATTTCTGTTAGGCACTTTGCTAACTAAATATAACATATTTAATTTGCAGATAGTAACATTTTTGTGCAAGAGGGTTCTTTTATAATGTTTGAAAGAAGATTTTATTGAAGGCTTTTTTGTTTTCTAATATGAACGGAACTCAAAAGACAAGGCTGCATAAACTGAGGAGTAAAGAATTAGGATGGTGAAAGTATTTTTTCGGTTTTTGCAGTGTGGACATGGAATCTTAAGGGTCTTGACAAACTTGGATTGCATATAGAATCCTATAAATCACAAAATGTCTTAAATAAATATGATGCTTTTCTATCCAAGTACAAAAACAATAACTTATCCCAACAAATTGCATTTCAACTGTTGTAATTGCAGACAAAACCTCCAGCTCATACTTTCACATTGTTTGGTCACTGTCAAAACAGTTTAAAGCACAACAAATACATTTTTCTTTCAAAAACACAGATGAAAATAAAAATGGAAAATCTTTGGTAGATAAGCAAAAATACAATAAAAACGTCTAGAAGTAAGAATGCATTGAAGTACAGAGCAAAAATAACGTAAACAGCTACAGCAAAGAGCCGACAAGGCAGAGAAGACAATCCAGCGTTCACTTAATCGGGAACTGTGTATAAAAAGGACAGTTTAATATCCAACATCACAAACAGACCATAAATTACTTGAGACCATCAGAATGCATCAGTCTTTTGGACAGCATCCTGAAACCTTGATGAAATGTAAAGAGAACCTATGAGGTATTTCATCTTGATTGTGTCAAGCATCACGCTGGAGGACAGGAGAGACATGAAAGTGCATCAGTATTATTTAAACTTGCGTCTCTTCCTGGTCCAAAGCAAACACTGGTGATGTTTCATCCCAAAATGCCGTTCCCTTCCATCAAGTGCCCTCATTCACATTCCTATTTTCAGGTAGTACTTTTCCCACATCGGATACACAAACATTTCACAGTCACTCCTTCCCCTGCAGATCATTTAACACAGTGCAGGGACACATTCAGATGTAGCCACACTAACCTTTAAACAGTATGCAACGAATGGAAGAGAGCAAGGATCAATAGTAAAGTCTTTGGAATGGAGTACAGCCCTCTTGTCTGCTTGGTGGTTGTCATTCGATTGGTTCGAAAACCAAACATTAACAAAAGTAGTGTCAAAACCTATAACTCAGAGAAAAAAAAGAGTACAAGAGTCAAAACAAAAGTAATTGTTTCCCCTTAAAAATGACAACAGTCACAGCAGCAAAAATACAGTCTCTTGCTTGTGATCACATGTTCAGCAACCTGATCAAGTAAGGATTAGATCCACCAACCATTGATCATCTTGAGATTCTTCACTTTGTAAACGTGAGAACACTGCAGTCATGTCACACTGGAACAACTACTACCACTATCTATCTGTTCCTACTTTCTTCATATTGAACAGTCATATATTAGTGTTGTAGTGTTGATAGAATATCTTAATTTACTTGAAAGAGGGAATGAATCTTTAAAGAGAACATGTCTAAGGGATTGTTAACATTTTTGATAAGAGTGTAATAAGTACTTATGAGTCTTTCCTGCAGTAGAGAGCAGTCTGAGTCAGGAGAAGTGGATTGTGAGTAATGCTTTCCAAAGGTTCCTACGCACAATGTTTGCATTTTATTTGTAATTTGTTCTTGACTGTAACAATCTGGTCCTCTGTCCTGTCATTAGTGGCTGTTATCTCCATATGAGAAGTCCTCCCTACTTGTATTCTATTGTTGCCTTGAGAAGCAGCACCGTTGGGTTCTAGTTGTTCCAGCAGCATAGTGGCTGGTGTCATTCTGCGTGAAATTGACTTCAGACAAGCCTTGACCCCCTGAAGCAGCTACAGTTAGTGGACAGGTCACCGAGTCCTTCCAATATGACATGAGTGCGACAGAAGACAAAAAAAGCAGCGCTTCATTTGAAAGCCCTTCATGCTTCAGTTATTAATAGTGATACTGTTGCTGTTTCCATAATGGATAAAACACTGAGAGGTTACGCGGATTCATCACCCCAAAAACACTGTTAAACTGAGTATTCTTTGTTGAGTTTTGCATTCGTATGTTATGTTAAATAGGTAACCTCAAAAAGGCTGAGTGGGACCTTCAGTAACACTCTTTACACCAGGTTGGCGGCAGACCCTTTTCCAGTGCCACGACCACTACTTGTGCAGTCGTCAAAACAGTCCTGCGACTGCAATTCATTAGGAAGGTCATTAACGTTGCTCTTTATTTTGGGTGTACAAACATTTGTTGGAGACACAATGATGCTCTGGAGGTAAAAAAGTCTTGCTGGTGATGTTAAACCCAATGGAAAAGGCTTAGAATCATTGCTCATATCAGACAGAAGCCCAGTGAAACGACAAGGGTGAGAGGTAGCTGGTATTAAAAAGCCTAGGACTCTTGTTGCCAACTGCTATAATAGTTGTGATCTTGACATTCTGAGCTAAAACTGGCTAGTTAGAATACACTAGTTCATTTCCAACTTAAAAATTAGGTTTACGTAATCCAGGTGAATTAATTAGCTATCAAACTGATATACCAAGATCATGAATTCCACGCTCACAGCCACTACCTGTTCTTTTTTTGTGTTTTTTTTTTGGCCATTGTGGTTGAATTCAACCAGTTTTGCCTCCAGAGATTTTCTGCATCTGAAAAACATTTGTAAACAAAAACCCAACAGAGTTCAGTGATAAATGGCGTCTGTTGTCTTTGGGTCATACGTCCAGCACCATATCATAATGTGGTTCCTTCTTCCTCTTCCCACATTTGTTTATGAGCACGGTATAAAGTGTCAACAGTATGACCCAGTAACTGGCATAAACGACTGCCCCGATGATGAGAACAATCTTTTCGGATTCAGGGAAGGGTTTTCTCGTCTGTAGGATTATTGTGTATATAATCCCGATGAACAGAATGGTGAACCAGACTGATATTGGTACCAGGCCGATGAAGTTCGTCACTATTGTTTTCCTCCCAGAGGTGCCCCAGCCTGACTTGTTGATGGTTGCTATGGCAAACATTTTTGCAGGCAACAGGCTTGACATATACAGTACTGAGTAAAAGGACATGAACACCATGACAATGTTGCCTCTGACGCAGCTGGCGAAGGAAGACTTAATCAGTGCCACTGCTTGAACAATGAGTAGGAACAGCAAAATATTCCAGAGCCTTCCTTGGTAGAAGAGTTGAATTGCTGTGGCAATGAGGAAGAACGGGAAGAAGCCAGTTATCACGGCTTCGTAAGTCATCCATAGATGGTGCTTGTGGAACCACATGGAGTTGTACAGCCATTCTCGGAAATAAGACTTACTCCACCGGGTCTGTTGATTGAGCCACCGCAAATATGTGATGGGTGTCTCGGTGAGACACTTGGACCGTGCTGTGTATTTGGTGGCATACCCAAGGCTAAGAACTCTGTTTGTGAGATGACGGTCATCCCCGAAGCTGCAGTGGGATCCCATGAAAGTCTGATTGTACCAGTCCTCGACGAAGTCGTGCAGCAGCGAGTTGCGGTACATTCCCAGAGGGCCGCTGATGCACTGAACACAGCCGAAGTAGGACTGGCAAGCCCGCTCGATGTTGAACGCCATCCAGTACCGGACACTGCTCAGGAAGGAGATCCATGACTCATATTTATTCAAGATCTACGGAGAGGTATAAAAATCAAAAGGCAAAGGTATTAGCTTACACACTTAGCATCCAATGTGTGTTTTTAATGGAAAAACTCAAGTCTCCAAAATGTGCAACTTACAGCAAGAACATGTTGATAATCTTAGCTTTGTAACTCTACCTGCACATCTCCTCCAACGCCTCCCACCATGGGGTCCTCTTCTAAAACCTTCACCATCTCCACTGATGATGCTGGATCCAACATGGTGTCAGAGTCACACACCTGAGTAAAACCCGCTGTGTCATTTAACTATTCATTAACTAGTCATTTATAGAAAAATCAACATCATTGGGAAGTAGATTACTGTTCTCCTATAATATTGAAGGGAATGTGTATTTCTTTTTTCTGTAGATGAGCATTTTTCAAGGAACAAAAAGCAACAATGTGCAAAAAATATCACAAAGCAGGGAAGCAAAAAAAAACAGAGGCATACAGGAATGTCGCCTCTAAGGTTATTTAGATAGTTAGCTACTTTTAGCCACTAAACACATTAAACCAGCAAACCCCCAGGAATGTGTTTAATTAGTATCAAATGCAGTAGTTTTTATTACCATAAATTTTGCCACATCGTATTGCCGTTATAGCTCATATTTAATGCAATAATGGTTGTACAACGGATGAAAAACAAAACAAAACTGTTGTTTAAGTTCAAAACCACACCAACACAATGTTGGCTGTCTTGTACCCAGGGAAATTCTTTACCCTTGTATATAAAGCATCCCAGAGCACCCAGTGTTATTCAAGCTGAAGGCTTTATTCTATTTAGGTATGCCAGATGTCTTGGAACCTGTCCCAGCTGTTAGGCAGGACAAACTTTAGACAGGTTGGCACTCTGTTACAGTTCAAGATAACATTTTATGTTGCCTTTTTTTTTCCAAGTAAACTGAACCGAATTCTGTTTGACCTAATACTGGACTCTGGTTCTGAACACCACTCAGTGTAGATGTAACACTCAGCCTGTGAAACGGATCTGCTATTACACTTAGACATCAGCTACTCAGCTACTGCTGCCGCTCTTCACGCTACACCTCACAGCACGATTTAGCCAGCCACCGTCTTCCTAAAAGCAACACAAAAGACTCTTTGTGGGCCCCATATTTGGCTTGACATAGCTCCCTTTTCCCCCTCGCCAGCCACCTCTCTTTCTGTTCCCTTTACTTCTCTCCTCAACGTATGCATGTGCGGAGTGCATCTTCCTTTTTGTAGCTCACACTGTTTCGCTCTCTCGCTGCTATAAATCCTCCCAGAGGTGACAGCGATTCCGCCCTTACATATTTGTGTGCAAGTAAATACATTTACATGTCCTCTTGCGATTTAAAGAACTGCATGTTTTCCTTCATTAGTCAGAAAAGTCTGATCTCACATTACCTGCACGTAGTCCACGCTTCTCCCCAGTGCTTTGAAGGCCGTGTACATGACCTCTCGCTTTCCTCCCCACTTCTGCATGATGCACACACACTTGTTGTTGAGTACAGTCCTGGAAACCTGCTGAAGGCTTTCCGCGTAGCCTTCGTCGCTTTCTTCGGGGTCCCTGCTGTGGTAGTTACTCCGCCACACAAACGTGGCCGATTTGTCCCATCCCATGATTTCTTTAAAAATCTCCATCATATACAAATCATCGTCCGAGTTCCCATCGATCACCATTATCACTTTGATCCCGGGATACGTCAGCCTCTTCACAGACACCAGACATTTTTTCAGATAATTTGGGTCCTCTTGATACGCTGCAATACACAACGCCAGTGATTTATTCAGTTTGATCGGCGTCTCTAAGGAGCGCCGCATGTTTCGGTGTTCTAAAAGTGCAAAAGAGCTCTGGATGATGAGGTGGACGACCAAGATGGCACCATACAAGCCAAATGAGAGATGATTGTGGGCTGTTGTGAAGAACTGGTAGCCCATGATGTAGGCAGTGGAAATACCCACCAGGAGGGACACGCCAAACATGGTGGTCCCAAATATCCTCAGATAAGTCAGGACCCTGTGACACTTCATCTGTGGACAGACAGAAAAAGGTGTTGTTCAGTGATAATGTTATAAAGGCGTTACGAATGACAAGATGATGAGCCGTGAAGCCAACGGGACGAAGGCATCACCTACAAATATTCAGAATGAGCAGAGCACACCGCAGACAGGATGGCCAGCTGTCTAGGGTGTGCCCTCTCTCACATCGGGCCTTTTGTTGAATGGAAATACCATCCAGCAAATAATGTTCCAGCACACTTTTCTGTGGTCCACATAAACTGTTTTAACCACATGCTTCTTTGTCGTGGTTTCTAAAGTCCTCCCCAAAACCCCATCTAAATGTCAGACGGTTGCGAGTGGCCGATTGTTCCTGCTCTCATTAAATGTGGGCGGGTGCACGTTACAAGATATTTTGGTCCAAATTAGGCATCATGCTGGGTGTCCCCAACAACCATCCTAGTTCCAAGCGAGTTCTAAATGTTGGTGCAAAGCAGTAACATCATACGTCAGCTAAAACTTCTGGACAAATTGAATTTTTTATTCTAACCAAATAACCCCTAAAGGGAACTATAAAGATCTGTACCAAGAAAGCTTATTCCAATATTTATGAGACCATATTCGAAGATCATCCTGAGAGTTTCTTGTCTTTCATGAGCCTTCTTGGGGCCTACTGCACAGAATCTTCAACTCAAACTCCTGAGGTTTGTTTCTGGCCTTCATTATGTTGCTACCGCCATCTGTTTGGCAGACCAGCAGAGACCCACTCAGCGTGGCTCAGCTCAGCTCAGCTCAACGCGGAGCGGACCACCCTGTGATGTCATCTGTTTATATCTTAATGGGGAGAAGAAGGAGACAAGAGCTTTTAGGTTCTTAAAGTGTGCCCTTTCTTGTCTTTTGTATTTCTTTGGCAACGGTATTACAAGAAATGTGTTTTCTTCAGTGATCTTTAGGTCAAAGAATCCCCCAGCTACTCCGCAGTGCATTTTAATATTGAACATAATTTTGAACACATTAAATAATTCTATGCCATTTGGTGCACATTTAGTGAGTGTGTCATATGAGAAAAACTTTTTAATAAAGCTTGTTTTCAGCAGTTCTTGTAATACATGATGTCAAGACAAAAAAAAAAAATGTAAACCTATATAAACAAGCACATCTAAGAGGAATACACAAAGCCAAGTGGTGTTTGTGATTTTCAGAGAGCTCTTCACACCACACCTAAACATACAAAACAGATGGAGGGAGGGGAAGACTATTACACATGGAGAAAAAGAAAGAAAACATAGACACAGCAGAAGATAAGGGCAGGGGAAAACAGAGGGGTTATGGGCAGTCTGAAAACAGACGAGGGAAAAACAAAGCAAGAGACAGTGTGTAAGTGGTAGGGGCAAAAGAGACGAATATGCGCACATATAAACCCACACACACCCATTGGCTCAGACATAAAGGGCAGTTCATTTGATCAGTGGATGAGTTTACCACAAACAGTGGAGCAGGCCTCCTCTGGCAAATGACAGTGCTCCTAACGTCAGGCGCTCATTTACAAGACCCCCGACACACACACAGAAATGCTCGCCTTGAAAAGCCAATTACACTAAGGCAGTTTGTGGGAAAATACTCATCTCATTGAGTTACTCAGGCCATCTTTAGCTTGTGCACTAGAGTGTGAGCGACTATATGTGGGCCTGCTTGTAAAAGTAGTTAGTGTTGTTGGAAATAAAGTCTCACCCTGTGTTGTCCTTTTAACAAATTCAGACACTACTTACTATAAGAGAGGGCTTCCAAAACAACTATAGGTGTGACATCAAAACACACGGCAATGGTATTTTTGGCAGATCCACACTTAAGTGACGTGAAACACGTTAAATGTTCTGTGTTCGCAAAAGCCCAAAGGTTAAAAGATTCATTCCGTTAATTTTCCATAGGCATTAAATCCCCTTAGTTACCAACTGACTGAACACCGGGACGCCTTAGGATGCTCTATGCGGGTCCATATCGGCCATTTTGGGTGTGTAATGCGGCGCAAAGGTCAAACTAACAATTAGCTCAGCCTGTAGTGAGATTAACTGCAGCCTGCAAGTCAGTCATAGGTCTTCCTCAAACGTGCCCCCCCTCCTTGTTCAGATACCATTACCAAAGAGAGGAGTACATGCGACAGTGGTGCTATCATCGGCATATTGATAATGATGTCACTTTGGAGAGTTCTCTTTGCGTGTGAGTGGACGGCGTGTATCTGCGCAAATTGAAGGCGTCATTAACACATGTTGATGATATCACCCCAGCGTTCTGTTTGTTTTCATCTCTCTGCACATGTAAGATAGATACCCATCACTATCTGCTGCTTTGGTGTGTGTCCGTGTTCCATGTCTCAGCCCTGTGATGACCTTGGGTTCAGCGTTTTAGCGGGGCTCACTCTGACGTTATTTGCGGTCTCAAGAGTGAAAATCCCCGCGGCTTCGCTGCAGAGAAAAACATTACGAAACCCTCGTTATTTGCACGGGTTCATAAAATGTAGTGAGGTAACAGGTAGACGAATGAATGAACGAATGAATGAATGAACGAGGAGAGTGAAGTTGGGAAAATCAATGAAACCTCAAGTTCCAAACAAGAAAGTCACATGACCCCCAAAATCTGCACCGTTCATCCAGCGGGAAAATGATTGTAAATAGTCCTGTTGTTTCTTAATCGACAGCCTGATGACAGAAGATTAAATGGCAGCAATGGTCTGCTTTCAAAAAGAAAAATGTTTTTCTCACTGTTCCTTGCACAGATAATTGTCACTGCTGTACACATGTTCCTTCTTGAACAAGTTCACTTTGCACGTCCTGACATCTTTCGAACACAAAGATAGCGAGTGATAGGACATGGGAATTTGTGACCTTTCATGCGAAAGTTCACTCATTTAAGACTTGAACTGGACAATTTTCTTCTTTACTCACAACTTTGCAATGTCCTCACACTTGTACTTTCTTATTCGTTTTGCAGGAGATAGAAGTAAATTAATTGATTTATGTTTTATGTACGTGATGGGGTAAGATTTGACCAAAAAAATACACGATGAGAGCATTTTAAAAATAGTCTAAAATGAAATATTCCTGTCATGTCACAGGATTGCTGCCTTGAAATTCACCTTCACCCCATCTCACTTCACCACTGCAGAAAATCTGAGTTTCTCTAGAGTTTTCATGGCAAACTTTATCCCTGTGAGGTCACATCACTGCCAAGGCTCGAAATAAACTAGCACACACATAAGCAAATCAAAGAAAGCAAAGAAATTCATAAAATGACAAAGTTAATCTATAAAACATCAGATTATTATGATTCAGCATAAATAAAGTCTTAGTCCTCCAAGAGAGGTATGGAATAAAAAAGCCATCATTAGTTGTTTTAGAAGTGATTTAGTTTAATAGTAAGAATCACCACATGCGTATTACATAACAGTGAAATGATGTATGAGTGATATACAGTATAGAATACATGTACCTTGTCCTGGCAAATGCAAATACCATGAAGTCATGAGTTGCATACGTGCAGTGCAGTCTGCATGTTTTGGCAATTCTGCACATGAACATAGAAAGGTGTGTGTGTTGTGCGTTGTGTGTGTGTGTACGTGCGCCGCAGAGAGAAGTAGATCATGACTGTTCTCACATGAGAGCAGTGGAAACTCTTTCAGCAGGGTTCCAGTTCAAGGCCTGTGATGGAACGTAAAATATAACAAGACTGGCCCGGCTCCGTGTGTCTTTACGTGCGGGGTGTGTGTGGGAGTTTACGTGCATGTGTCATTTTCTGTGCGTTCTGCTCAGAGCATAAATCTGACCCCGAGCCAAAGAGGACGGCTCGCTGGTCTCTGTGAAGCCGAGATAACATAAAGCTTACTTTTTTATGTTAGTGTGACTCAGCAGTCCCCGGCAGCAGCTGTAACGGTCACAAATCAACGCCTCTGGCAGGACGGCCGCTTTACACAAATCACATTTTTGGGGTTTCCGGCCAGCTCATGCTTTTGCCAGGTATGCTTTGCTTTTTAGATGCTGTGTAAGACTGAGTGGGAGAGGGAAGGCATCTATTCAAAAGACATTATTTACTGATAATGACACACCAGTCGGTCCAATATAGTTGTTCGCTGCAAGCATTCGGATCCAGTAAAGAAAGATTGCACAAGAATATTATATAGTGTTAGAAAAATAGACCAGTAGAGATTAGGCGCGCTTTTGAAATCTCAAGCACACCCTGTTCTGCAAACATAAAACGTACATCTGAAACCTGAACAAGTAACACACGTTATGATCCGATTTGTTCACTCAGACATGAAGATGTCAGCGTCTGAGGGGGGGGCGGGGCTGCAAGAGGCCGGGGGTGCATTTTAAAAGCATTAAATATGGACACGGCCCTCATGACAGTTGCAGCAGGATACAGGAAAGGCTCACGTATTCCTGAGGAGATTACAGGGCAGTTGGGAGGGGGAGGCCGGGGAGGACTTGAGAGTTTGCTGTTGTCTTGGGCTAAACATGATCGCCTCACTGAAAAACTGGAACAGGGCCTCGTCTGCTTTGATGAGCTGCTTTCTCATATGAAGCCTGCTCTATACGTAAGGGAGCTATCTCAGAAGGCCAGGAAGGTGCGGCACTGTGAAAAGTCGCATAAAGCAGGATTCCAGAAATGATTTGGCCAAAGTGTGGTGTGAATGTTATCCCATTACTGGCTGATGGATGCCAGCCCAAGTCTGAGGGCTGAAATTCCTAAATCAGCCTCACAGATGAATAAGAGGGCAACAAACCCCACGCTGATGGGACACTTGACCAAAAATATAACTACAACTTAAAAAATTTGCAGGATGTATAAGGAGGAATAAGGGGAGTAAAACAAGAGAGTGAAAGGACCATGGATCGGGGAGTTGTCTGCAGAGTTTGCAGAAAAATGCCATTTTCAGTCCATCTCCTCCTTGTTCATATCTCCAGTGAACAAAAAGAGGCCTGCCAGGTGAACATCAAAATATCATCAGAATATAACACAGGACCTTGAGCATGAATGTAGAATTATAGTTGCAAGATCTCGAGGGTGTGTAATGACATAGGGCGACATTTGAAGGTGGCATTGTAACATGAGGCATGTTAGAAGGCCTTTTCTCTTTAGGAAGAGAAAAAAAGATTTTAAAAAACAGTGTTAAATCAGCGCTTCTCAGCCAAAACTCAGCCTAATCAGCCTGGCAGTCATTACTCTAACGAGTCGGAGCAGAGCCTATAGCTGAACCACAGCCAACTGTGCTGGAGCTGTTTCAGCTGCTTAGTGAAACTATTGTTCACAGTCTGTAGTATAAAAATCAAATATAGGCCCAATATCGTCGGTCAGAAAAAGTAGTGCATATTTAATAAAAGCCTTACTTCCAAATGCAGAATGGTCTGCAGTGGGTGAACCCAAAGGTCAAGTGGATTTCAATCATCAGAGCCAGACAGTGACTGATCCCCCCCCCCCCCCCCCGACTCCTCCCTTTTCTCATCGTCCTCTTCCCTCGTCTCATTCACAAACCCCCCTCAGCGGTCCCTGTGTGCTGTTGTTGTGGGAGCTTTGTCATTATAAGAGCCAGAACTAATCAGCACCACCACCCACTGAGCCACAATGCTCTACGACTTACGTGATTTAAATAGGGTGGACACCACAGGCGGGGGCACAATGGTACATCATTCAAAGTGTGCTGCTTTTTATACGTCCCTCTTCCTTTCTCTAGATTAAACATGCCACTGGGATCAGGAATCCTGAGGCAGTATCTGATCAGAAAATAAAAAGCAACATCTCCCTTCCATATTTCTCATACAGTTTCATTTTAGCAAAATTTATGTTGAAGAAGAAATCCCATCGACCAAATTTGGCGCTGGATTTCTTTTTTAATGCTTCTGAAGCTAAACTCTCTTGTTTATTATTTAGGTGCATACTATGTTATACTATGTACAATATGTTAGAAGGGAAGCGAGAGGTGGGGAACACCACTGACCGGCAGCCGTTCCATCACAGGGCCAACCACACCAAAGGTTCATTCATTTTTATAAAGGGAAATGTAAGTATATTTTTGCAAGTCATTCTAAATCAGCCTGAAGATCTTTCACAGGATGTGTTGGTGTTGGTGGGAAATGTGTTAATCGTCCAGCTGCTGCACAGTTATCCCTGCGGTGTGAGTTTAGAACTGGCTCTGAGCGCAGAGGTTTGGTGTCCTTTCAGAGTGAACAACAGAAATCATCTTTAAATCTGTGCACAGCTTGCATATGGTCCTCTTGGGTTTCTGACTAAGAAAATGTCCCGGTGTGTGCACCGCAGGGGAAAACTTGGTGTGACCCTCCAGTGTTGGCTGGGCTCACTTCAGACCTTGGCTGAAGCCGTACTATAAATGTACCTGACACCACTACGCACGGTGGAAAGGAGGGAAAAAAAGAAAAAAGAAAAGTAATGGAACAGAAAAGAGCCAACGGACGGTCTGCCTCCTGTCTGCAGCAGCATTACGAGCAGGGAAACAGAAGCAACGACAAATTGAGCAGAAGTTAAAGCTCGATGAATGAAAGTGAGAGGGTTGCTACATAACCAAAGTGTGAGGGAGCAAGAAACTGAAGGCCAAGTGATGGACTTTGGTTTTTTGTTGGTTGCCAGCTGAGGCACTGGAGCTGTGCCACTGTGGCAGAACTACACGAGGCCAGATGTTCAGATGTGGCACAGCCAAGAATCTTTCCCTCTGGAGTCATTACTTCATGTGGCCAGCTGTTTGTTATTCAATCCTATTCCACATATGATACAGGACCAATTATTGTTTTTTAACTCTTTAAAGTTGTGCGAAGACTTTTGCATGGCTTCTTCGAAAAACACCACAAAACGTTTGCCACAAAATGTTTAGAGGCTTTATGCTCCTCCAAATCCAGAGTATTTCTCAGTGCGATCACTGTTCCAACTCCTCATCTATCAGCCCGCTATCAGCAGAGCTCTAAATAAATGGTTTGTCCCCAGTCAAAAGAAGACTATTCATAGTAGCCTGTTGCAAGATAACAAAGGACTAATCAGTACATCCAGTGAACAGATGAGGGAATAAATGGTTGGAACTGGTGCGGAAAAGAGAAAGCAGGGACTCTTTGCAGCATAATGTGATGAAAAGCAAATCCAACCCTTACTTTGAGGAGCTTTATTCTACGGTGTTTCTTTGGAAATGGCACTAACTCTCTGAGATCCTGTGTGTGGCGCAGCATGACGTAGTAGGAATATGACTCTGAATTACAAAACGTTCCCTTTCACCGGCTGGCTGGCTCGTCACTTCACCCAGGGAACTCGGAAAAAACTATGGCAGAACACATGAGGTAGATGGCTGGGTCCTGTTGTAGGGAGGGGCTACGCATGAGCCCTCTCCTCTGGCTTCAGTAGCTGCTCCCTGCCAGCCCCATGCCCCGAGGCTTCATACACTGAAGGACCCTTGCTGAGAGCAGAAATGGCACGTGAAACTTGTTGGAAGCTCTAACGAAGTCCAGCCACTGAATGCCTTCCTGTGCTAAGTAGTAAACTGCCGAGTGCTCCATGTGGGAAGAAACTGATGAGTCTGCACAACACTCTATGGCTGTTAGACAGCAAAAAGTTGCCTCTCCACTCTTCAACATTACCATCACTAGAAGACCACTTTTTTATTTCATAATCAGCACATAGACTAGATATTAAACCAAAATCACTATTATAGTGTTAGCCTCCACACTTCTCACAAAGTTTTGCATTTAAATGAGTTACAAAACTCAGATGGAGATTAGGACCAGTATAAATGAGTTGGGTTGGATTGATTAATACAAAAAGTTCATACTTGTACAGAATATGTGGAAATAATGATCCATCTATCTGTTTTACATGTTTATGTTGCACACTGATCTTCAGTAGCCCACAGTTCAGTACAGGAAACATTTGGAGGAGCACTGTTTCAGAGGATAAGGGTTTTGATTCATAGAAAAACTGTCACTGGCTCTGGGGAATACCCTCACCGCTCTTTTACAAGTGGAAACATTATGTTTCAAACGTGCGCTGCCCAAGCACTAAAATGCACAAGGACTCTGACCAGTAGGAAGTAGATTCCACGTGTAGGATGAAAACCTTTTTTGTGTGTGTGTGTGTGTGTGTGTGCATCGTGGATAAATGTCAGGCATTCTCACACATTCAGCCGGCAGATGGGCATTCCGTGTGTGGGATATGCAGCACAGGAGCCAACAGCGGCTGTCTGCACGATGGGAAATCAGTAGGTCGATTGAGGAAGAGAATATGTGAGGGGAGAGGGACGGATTTGGATTAGCATTAATGTGCATCTGTATGCAGCGGTCAGCAGGTTTTTAAACAGAGAACTGGTCGACAGGTCAATGGTTAAAGGTTCTCTCCACGGAACATCAGGCAGCTACAAGCGTTCACATGAGGGCAGGAGCCTGTATTCGGCATTACGCATCAAATTACGCGCACCAACAATCGGGCGTCCCCTCATTGGCTCTAAAATCCAATAGAATGACGTACGACTTGTCATCAATCAATTTACTCGAAGCAGCGTTTCTGAAAAATGCGCTTAATTTCACACGGTTATCTAAAATAGGCAATAGCTAGAGTTTCCTAAAAGTGAAACTACAGCCCGAGGGTCACCACAGAGAAGAAAGACACAATAAAGAAAAAAAGTTATTAATTTTGATTTCCATATGAATTAAAAACAAAACATTAATCTGAGATTCATGGCTGTGTGGGGGACAATGTTCTATTGGCACTATTTACTGCGGCGGATGAAGGGAATCCCCAAAGTTTACCTCCAGAGTTTTGAGCATCACTCCCCCCTTTGAATTTTAGGTTTTAGACATTAATCTAGCTGTGTGTATTGATTAAAAACTCCATGTAGTGACAACATTTGTCGCTGTATCGACTTGTCACCTGCTCTAACCGGACGCTTCTGTGGTCATTCGTGGCCGAAATTGCCCCGACGGGTCACCGGGATCGATCTCCGCGTGCCTACCTTGAAACAGCTGCTGTCCAGTCGTCTGTCCTCCGGGAGGGATGCGGTCAGCTCCGCTGGCTCTGGTGCCGCTCCACGGAGAAAAAAAGTCTCAGCAAAGTTTGAGCGGTGGTGACTCTCATGAAAGCGCCCCCAAAACGTCCTCCAAAATCAGAGAAAAATAAACTCCTTCATGTGGGATCTGCCGGGTCCTTGAATATAACCTGGACTGCTCCTCCTATAACTTTTATCTGACGTGCCCTCAGATGTGGATAACTTAATGTAGAAATTCAAAAATGATGTCAGTCAAATTTGGCATCATTCGTGTAAAAAAAAACTATAAATAAAATGGAGACTGTAAAAAAAAAAGTCATAAATACTTTTCTCCATCAACTTCGGTCACTTTCATTCATTCTCTCAAAGTCTTTCAAAGAAGGCAAACAAAAAAAAGCCATGCATTTTGGAAGCGTCACTTACATTAAAATGATAACATTTTTTTAAAAATGACAAATTTCTTGCAAAAACAATAACATATAAGCCGGAACTTTTGTATTTCAGCTCAGTTAGGGGGCTTTGTGGGTCAGCGTTCAGGTTTCCCCGCATCCAGGTTCCTGAGAGCGCACTGAAGTGGCACTTTCAGCTGTCTAATTCCTTCCAGACGGATGTGTGTGTGTGGAGCCTCCTTTATGGCTGCTGCGGCTCCCAAACCCCTTTTACCAGGCTACAACAGATTGGCGTGTTGTTTTAATAAGAGGGGGGAGGTTTTGGGGGTGTAAGGAGGAGCGATGGAGAATAGTAGGGGCAGACTAAGAAAGAAACGCATCATCCAAACTCATTCAAACTCCAGAGGCAGTGACACGGAGAAAGAGAGACTGACTCATAAAGGCTTTCCAAAACCCCCCACCTCTGAAACCCCCATCCAATCTATAATAACCAACGAGGTTCATCTGTGTTAAGCGAAAAATGGCACAAATTAGTGTTGGACTTTAGATCGATGCATTTGACAGAGTGTGATTTACAGTCACCACTGAGATGTCAGCTGAGTGAAGAATCAGAATCCAGAGTCAGCTGTATAGGAAGGGCACGCGTGTGCGCTGGAGTTTGAATGTTATGGAATTTCAGTCATTTCATTGATTCGACAAAAAAAAGAAGAAGTTCCATGGTTTGACCAGCAGGTAGTGCTCTATAATACGGAACACAGCTCTGGGCTCCTCACATGAACAGTAGCACGTCTTTGATCATTACCTCTTTCACAGTACCCAGAAAATATGAATATTACCAAGAACAACTGAGAGTCAGATATATCCGCTTTCCAAACAATTATAGAGACAGATGTCATCTTACAGGCAACAAAGGTTTTTCAGCTATAAGTATGCGGATCAGAATGTTACTGAGAAAAAAACAGACAATGGTTGATGTTGGTACCTGGTTTTACACAATGTACTCGGAGTGTCTTTATTCCTCTAAAATTTTCAATCAACATCAAAACCCTTTCTTTGATTGTACTGATGGTGGAGTAGAAATAATGCATTTCAACAAGGTAGTGCAGTCTAAGACAAATGTCACACGGGTCCACACAGAAACTTCATCATAGAATTTTATTTAATTAAAAATTTCATTGAAAAGAACGTTTCCCTGGGATGACTGTGTTGTGTGGATCTGTAAAGGTTTTGACAGTGGGGCTCCCTGGAGGAACTCCAAACAGGATCTGGGGAAGCTCAGGGTTTGAGTAATTATGATATCAGCAATCAAGGGACATCAAGTTAATTCTGGGGGGTTTGTCAGCATGATGTTCTTATATTAACAAACTTTTCCCCAGACTTCGGTAACTATGATAAACCCCCCCACTTCTAACGCACAAAAAGCATGCTGGGAGAGACATGGATACAATTCCCTGTTTTGTTTGTAGGAGAACTCTGTAAGCATAGACTTAGGTATGCTCACTGCATACAAAGCTTTTCTTTTCCTCTTTATAAAATTCATCACAATAAATATGAACACATGCAAACCAGAGTGATGGATGTAAGTGGGGCTGGTGTTCCCTGTAGATCTACATTGTTTATGTATGGTTTAGTGCAAACATGCAGCTGCCAAAGCCCAGTGAGTCCACCAGTGAGTCCACTAGTGAGTCCACCAGTGAGTCCACTTGTGTTACTACCAGTGACTTAGTAACACCATTTTCACAGGGCCACACAAATCATTTTGTGACACTCCCCTTTTTGCACAGGGCAATTCAATCATTTAGTTTTTATTCACATGGACAATCAGGGAAATGTGGAAATAAAGATGCTGGTTATCATGGAACATTTGGTGAATGCACATGTTACCCAAACGTCCCTGACTCAGCAGTTGTTTTTTGTTCTAAAGTAAGCCACACAATGCTCTCTTCTTTAAATATTCCCTCAAGGTAGGATGATTACAGCATTTTCTGTAATTACTCATCAACATTTTGATTGGAAACTGTAAAGCCTGATGATGACTACAGGGGAAATCGGAAAATACTGAATAGAGATGGTTTCATTGGAGCTGTTTTCATTAAAATCCATATGGATGCAAATGAATGTTTTGGTCTGTATGTTTATTGTAAGAATCTCAAAGCATCAAACGTTTCTAAAATACAGACGAAGATGGTGAGTTATCCAGGGAGGAACAGTTTTCTGTGGACCTATGTGCTCACGAAACATCCCACACCGTCAGTCATCATTTGTTCCACTTCTGCTCCGTCCACTATAGCAGCCTGGGGTGGAACACATATCCCCCATGAAGCCACCACCACCTGCAACCAAAGTGCAGTTGAAACATTAGAGGAGCAAAGTTACGAGCAAAATTGAAAATAAATATGTATATAGGCACAGTTTCAAATCCCTCGACTGGCCTAGAGGAATCTAGAATGAGTAGGGATTAACGGCATAATGTTCATCCATTTGGATCTGCTCTCATTTCTTTGGAGCAAAGCTTTTTAAAACCCCAATATTGCTAGTGTAAGTGCAAATTAAATAGCAGAAGTACAAATAATGTAAATTGTATTTAGATGGTGTGCTTAGAATTATGGAAAGACAAACCCCCCAAATTTTCAGTCTTGTGAAGTCTGTCGCTTTCAGCTGTCTTTGTTTTGAGCTTGCAAACACGTCGGCTTACCTTCAAGTACAAGATCAAAAGGGTGCAGGTGATGAAATCCCTGTGGCCAACTGTCTTCCTCCTGTTTTTCTCACTTTACCGTCAGCGTGGTGATGTGTGCGCGCTTCAGTCCATCTCACAGGGAACTCTGAGAACTGTCGCTGTCTGAGTCAAAGACTGCACGAGCCTCATGTTTGTGTTGCCATCGAGGAAACTCCACCCGTCCACAGATTTATTTTACCCACTTATTCCATCCAGAGCAGGGTTGGAGTATCTCGGTTTTGCCAATGGGTGAGAGGTGGGGTACACCCTTGACTGCCTGCCGCCTGTCCGTCACAGTTAATTAATATCTGAGCTAATTGTAATGATGTACACGGTGCATTTAGCAACTGGTTTTAACCACCACCTCTTTTGCTCATATGAAGATGAGCAAAAGAGTGGAAACATGTATTGCCCAGCACCTTTTCAACCTGTTTCGGGGCACATGTCTTCCATTAACGAGTAATTTCTTATCATAATCCAGCTATTCTGTATTTATGAGAGCCCTCCATTTCTCTCTTTTTTTACACGATTTGAATAGCTTGCCTCCTGTTTGCTCGTTGCCTGTTAACAGATATGCATCAGTACACTCGTCGTGGCATGGTTTATTGCAGGAGATATCCAGCATTTCAACCTGTGGGCTTAGCTTAAAAAGATAAATCGCTCTGATTGAGGCGAGTCGAAAGGGTTGGCCGGCACCATTTGGAGTTCAGCGTAGTTTAGCTTCGGTGTCGAATCGGAGGTTTTGAGGTGTGGTTTTGGGGTGTGAAAAGCAATTTCCAGACAGCTTGGTGAGACAATAAAACCCGGCTGAGTGGATGTCGACATGAAGACTTGTGGCTGGTGGTATAATGTTATAGTCAGAGAGCGCAGACACACACACACACACACACACACACACATATAACAGATTGAGTTGGGTGTGACGCCGTCACATAGAATTATCAAACACACACACATACACAGTAGACTTTCTCTCTAACTTAAAGAGTGTTACTTGAAGGAGTTCAGGTCAAATTGGTACCATGTGTCTCTGCTCTTAAATTCTTTGCAAACCTTCTGTCTGTGATTTCTTTACATCTCTCTGGAGGCTTGTATGTCAGACTGCGATTTACCCAAATTTGGGAAAATGGAGAATATCTTCCTTGTCCTCTTCCCATAAATACGTGAGCACTTGGCGGAGAGATTCAATGTTTAGGGAGGGTAAAAATTAGGCAATGAAGTTAGTTTACTATGGTGGATGCATCAAATGAATAAAAAAATATTTTTGCTGGATTTCTTGCTGGTTTGTTGGTTAGCGCTTTTGAATCCTTCCACCATCCCAAAAACATGCATTTTAGGTTAACTGGTGATTCGAAATTGATCCAGGGAGTGAGCATGCATGATTGTGGCATTCACATCTGTATGACCCTGTGACGGAATGGGAACCTGTCCAGAGTGTAGCTGATGAAAATTAGGAAAGGCTCCAGCCCTTTTACAAATCTGATTTGGACCAAGCAGGTGTAGAAAACAGATGGATTTATAAAGATGATCATTTTACAATGCTACCTTTAACTCTATAACCTGCATTATTCTTCAGTGATCCCCAATCAAAGGGGCCACAGACCAGAACAGGGAGGTCATATTATTTGTCACCCTCACAATATGTGATTAATAGCAAAGGGTGGGAGAATCATGCATAGAAAGTCTTAGTAAGTCGTTTTCTGCACCTTTTTCTAATTATCCCTTGATTATGCCTCCCCTACAGATTCAATAATGTTGGTGACTCACACCAATGCCGTTATCATGTTGTTATTTCCTCAGTCAGAGGAAAAAGCTTTAGAAATATCTGTATTTGTGTTTTTATAAAGCTTTCCTTCAGATGACCCTGAAACATCCCATAGCTACGTCGCTTCTGATCTCCAGCCCTAAGGGACATCCCATGATG